CAGTGCGACATTAATGATATCTGAGATCGTACAGTGCGACATTAATGATATCTGAGATCGTACAGTGTGACATTAATGATATCTGAGATCGTACAGTGTAGTGGAATCAACTGTTCACCCGGCCTGACGTTCTCCTGTTTCCCTCCTCTCAGGTTCTGATGGTCCGCTTCGTGCCGTTGTTCGACGTGATGGAGCGCACGGTGACCTTCCTCAGCGGGGCGAAGTACAGTGTGGATCTGTTACGCTCGATGGGCGCCGGAGAGCTGCTCAGCTGCATGTTTGAGTTCAGCGAGAAGCTGTCAGTCCTGCAGCTCAACGAGGAGGAGATGAGCCTGTTCTCGGCGGTGGTGCTGGTGTCTGCAGGTACAGCATGCAAACACACATCAGCTGAGCAACAGAAGCGGACAGGTCTTTAAATATTATAGATCAACCTATTTTTTTTTTTATTAAGATTATTTTAATTAATATAAATTCTTTTTAGAATGATATTTAATAATTTGAACTAATCATTTATTAATATTTTTGTCATGAATTTGTGTCATTGCAAACACAGTACATGCGCATTCAGTATTATAGTTTAGATGTAATTATATACAAAACGATTAATTGATACAGATTGCTTTTATTAATTATAAAATACTGTAATTTTAATAATTCTTATATATAAAAAAAAAAATTGTTTGACCGGCCATCAAGAATGTAAAAGACACATATCAAAACATGACTTAAAAGTTTATTAATATAAATCATTTTTAATTATATTTAATATAATTTTTTTTAAATAATTGTAATTTCTAAATGATTTATTTTTAAATTATAAACACATTTAAATGTATTATTAATGTAAATAAAGAATAAATTTCTGCTATTTATTATTTATAAATTATTTATTTTTAAATGCATAAATACATTTATTGACAAAATAAATAAATACAATTATGCTATTAGTTTATTATTTATAAATTATTTATTTTTAAGACAAAAATATCTCATAGTGATATATCAAAAATATATCACAGATAAAAATATTGCTAGCAATCTCATTTTTATTTCAAAATGTACAAATACATTTATAGCCAACATATAAATTTCATGTAAGTAAAAAATACATAAATATTTGAAAATATCAAAATTAAATAAATTAATTTTTACACACACACACATGTATTGGTTACAAACATGCAACTTTCCTCTAACTTGAGCGTTTGTGCGTGCCTTGCAGACCGATCAGCCATTGAGAATGTAAGTGGCGTGGAGGCCCTTCAGGAGACGCTGATCCGAGCCCTGAGGAACCTGATCATGAAGAACCACTCGAACGAGGCCGCCATCTTCACCAAGCTCCTCCTGAAGCTTCCCGAACTGCGCTCGCTCAATAAAATGCACTCCGAGGAGCTGCTAGCCTTCAAAATACAACCTTAAACACACACACACACAACAGTGCTTCCCTTTACTCTCCGTCTGACCAATCTGGGCTGTACATTTCTACTCTTGAATGTATCTAAAAGGCTTTTTTACTCGATCGTTTTGTGAATAAAGAGTTGCATTCAAAAACTTTCCGATGATTTGAAAGCTATATTAGATATTATTGTGATTTGCTCATCACGCACAAGCAAAGGTTGTCTACGTTTGTAAAACACTAGACTCTTCCTTAGTAGCATATCGTCTTTCCATTATGTGCAATCGCTGCTAACGCATGGCTATTCGTATAAGAGCAGCTTTACGTCGTATCTAGTTCAAAAGAGTTAGATTGATTTTGTTGTAGATGTATATATATAGATATAAATATAAGATGTGATTTTATTATTATTATTTTTGAATGCATGTCTGTTTCTAGCAGCATGTTGGTATCGTTTTACCCTGTATAACAGGACAATGCTTTTGCACGAGGTGTCGAGGAACAGATGGGGTATTATGTCTCCCCTGACACCATAATAACGGTGCACGGGCGGAGAGGAGTCACTTTAAATGATGTTTTTGTATAGACCACATACAGAGAGGTGTTAGAAGTCTTCCATTATGCAGCGGGAAACATGTATAGTGGACGTGAACAAGTGAAAGAGATGGATTTATTTATGGATCTTTGTACAGATTGCCTTATCACTCTTTGCCACATCTACGGACATGGGTTTTGTTTTTCTTCTCTGTGATGATCGCAGAGCAGGGAAACCGTGTTAGAATCCCAGTTATTTTGGGATGCACTGCTCCCGGTTTACTCTATGCATATGGAAACAGCTTGACAATAATGGACATTTCTCAGCCTATAACCAATAGGAAATGACGTACTACTCCCGTGTTCAGCTCTGCTGTGTCCATGTTTTTCAGTTCCTAGTTATAAATAACAGTGCAGTATGTATAGTTGTGTATATCTATTTGAAATATATCATTATAAAGTAAATCAATATTTCCTTGTCATTTGTTGTCACGCCTCTTTATTGCACTTCATATCTTTACCCACTAGAGGACGCTGAAATGCCATGATGGGCTGTGAACCTATTACCATATATGCATGTGCATTGTTAGCTGATGCATAAACTAATGTTAACAAGTGATACCTTACTGTAAAGTGTTATTAAAAACAATAAATATTGAGGTTCAATAGCCTGACGCCACTACTTAAAATGCAATGCATCCTCTTAATATAAACTGTAATCACACATTTAGTATTCTTACATTTGATTAGTGTACTAAAAATAGCACAGAATGCTAAATATTTCTTTTCAGTTTTAAACTTTATTTTATTTGCAGGGTTAAAGTTTCAATGTAGACTTTTGGGCCGCACTGAACATCCATAATATAGAAAGACAAACAGTGTTATAATAAATTCTACACACACACACACACACACACACACATATATATATATATATATATATATTAGGGCTGTGCAAAAATTAATTGCATCCAAAATAAAAGTCTGTGTTTACATAATATATTTGTGTGCGCTGTATATAATTATTTTGTATAAATAAATACCTATGCATGCATGTATATATTTAAGAATTATTTGCGCTTAAATTCTGTATATATATATATATAAATACAAAATCTATATTATATAAATATAAATATTTTATATATGAATAACACATTTTCTTTAATATATACATGCATGTGTGTGTATTTATATATATATATACAAAATAATTATAAACAGCACACACAAATATATTATGTAAACTCAGACTTTTATTTTGGATTAATCGCAATTAATTTTTGCACAGCCCTAATATATATAAAAATCTTCTGAATTTTGTTAAGTGTGCCTCTGTCTATTTTAACATGCCCTGAGTGTGAGTAATAAATTGCCTAGAATTCATTTAGTTAGGAAAAAATAAACTACAAATTTTAATATTTAAACTGTATCTTAATTCATATATATGTTTTGTCAACAACAAAATAACCAGTAAAAGTAGGGAAGATCACACACACACTAAAGTGCACAGATTCAAATGAGGTAAATCATCTACTGTATGTGCGTGCATTGACTATTGCAATCTAACAACAGGTTAACACGTGTTCTTCAGATGCACACAATCAGCTCATGATTCATAATGTGATAACGGTCAGGTCATCTGTGCATGTGTGACGTTTGACCTGAGACGACAGCTGTCAATCACTGAAGTGCTGCGGATTTGAGTGTTTGAGAACGTTTCATTCCTGCTCCTGAATCCAGCTCGCTTCTGCAGTACACACACACACACACACACAGAGAGAGAAAGACATTTTTTTGAGTATCTGTCCTTTATCAGAGTACTTTTCTTTTGGGAAACTTTTACTTTCCCTTCACTGCATTGCAAAGCATTATCATTACTTTATACTCCACTTAATTTCATTAAACACATCTTTCAGTGATGTCTGATTCACGAACGAGTCGATTCTTTCCAATTAACGTGTTGAATTGAACGATTCATTCAGTTGTAACTTGACCCGTCAAAATGCACTGCAATATCGCCATAGCTTGAATGGTGCAAAAAACGTGTTAAATACGCCAGATTTTAATATTGATTATTGTAAATGAAAATCATATTTAGGTCATGCCTATGAGTTATTTGTGAACTAAATCTGCTGTAAAACTATTCAAAATATTTATTTAATTTTTTTTGAAAAAAAAAAATCTCTTCTGCTCACCAAGACTGCATTTATTTGGAAAAAAAAAACTAAAACAATAATATTGTGAAATATTACAATTGCATATAACTGTTTTCTATGTGAACATATTTTAAAATGTAATTTATTCCTGTGATCAAAGCTGAATTTTCAGCATCATTACTCCAGTCTTCAGTGTCACATGATCCTTCAGAAATCACTCTAATATGATGATTTGATCCTCAAGAAACATTTCTGATTATTATCAATGTTGTTTTTGTGGAAACTTTATTTGTGCAGAATTCTTTGGATGAATTAGTAGACTTCCATCACTGTAAATTGATCAAAATCACCTGTAATAGCCGTTCTCCTCCAGCACGTCCTCCACCATGCTCTGAAACACATGCAACTGACAACTTAATAACACACTACACATATTAAAGTCACAGCCTTTAAAACATGGAAATCATATCAGTTATGTTTCTATAATGACCATTGAGTGAATATGGGGTGGGAGAGGGGTGAATTTTAACTCATTTCTCTACTTTGGTTTGAGTTTAGTTCATTTTTGTATTCATAAATATATATTTTTATTTCTATAACCAAAATGTTTGCATGTTTTCTGTGGTATATTCACTTAATTAATAAACTGTTTCTGTGTCCTCAATATCACCTTACATTTTGTCTTTCCTTTAAAAGCCATGAAACCATGAAATAAAAATTGTTAATTTTATGGAATATTGCTGTGTTTATGATTCATGTGCCTCATGATCTTTAATCAAAATAATTTCCCCTTCTCTTCTCTGATGACATGTTTACCGGAGCAACCTGTCACTCACATAAGACCACAACCATCCAATCAATTCCTCACAGACAAAATCAAGCCCCGCCCACATTTGTTCTTGTTCCAGAAGCCGTTTGACTCGGATACACGTCACAATAGGGAAACTTTCTTTTCATGCTGACTTTAACTAACAAAAGCCAGTTCTTTTATAACATCCTCCTCCAGTGACATCATTTTGGAGGGAAAACAACAGCACAAATGTCAGTAAGCATTTGATTTGATTTATCAAGAACAGTCCATGCTGGTTAACAATAATAAAACAATTATTCATGCAAAATGTACTGCACAACAAGACATTTCTAAATCCTACCTGTATTTCCTCGTAGGTGAGCCCATCTTGAAGACTGGAGTGACCGGATTCCCCTACAAAATAAATAAGACAAACTCAGTGGAGTTTGTAATGCTTTACAATCAAATCAAGGAGAGAATCTGAGTTCCACTTCCACGGTTTTCAGCGGTGGATGGGTCTGAACTGAGAGACTGGATCATGGACCACCACTCTCTGCTGGCTGATGACATCTCCACCAGCTCTTGACTGCCTTGAAGAACCTGAACGGGTTGAAATGAAAGGTCTGAAAAGCAGTTTTCAACTGAAATTACACTTTTTCTCAGTCGCTTTGGTACATTTTCTCAGATCAGAAATGAAATTCTCAAAATGACCAAAAAAGCAGTTTCTCATTTCTTTGAACAAGTTGCAAATGATTACGTACAATTCTATACTGTTTCCTACATTATCAATCGCTTATGTTGATCAAAATGTATTATAGTGGGTCTCTGTTGAATAGTCCCACCCCACAAAACATGTAGGCATTAGTTCATAGCATAAGTCTTTACATACAAAATCGTATCATAATCAAGCATTTTTCTATACATTTCCATTAGACTTTTTTTCCCTAAATATGTCCTGTTCACATTTCTACGTTCACCTTTTTTGTGCTATGCAGTGCTGTCTTTTCCTTTCTGTATCGCAATGACACGCTTTGTCAACAAATTACAGTACAAACAGCAAACGTGTAAATGTGAATTTCAGTCTCTTGCAATCAAACTCCCACACACACTAAGGTGTTTACTTTTGAGAGATGAATTAAGGATGTTGAGAAAGAGATCCACAGTGTTTTGCTATTTGTACAAACTGTTCTGAGTAAATGCACTTACTGTTTTACAAATGTCGAGGATGATTAAAGAAATGTACCAAAGCGACTGAGAAAAACTGTAATTCCATTGTAATTTCCTATAACATCCACAAGAGGGAGATGTTGCATCTTTTTCCCCATTACAGTGATGTTCACTACAGTTTTATCTCAACGCCTCATTCATTAAGTGTGGTTCTGCACATCTTTTATAAAGGCAAAAATCAGCTAAATCTACACTTTATTCCAGTAACTCCCCTATTATTGTGCACTTTTGCTCACGGAATAAACCACAACAATGTCCAGACAAGACAACATAAACAAAAATGATGTTGTTGATGAAGTACCTTATTGAGCTCCACCTTCAAATTGTAGGGATCGCTTCCGTACGAGAACAGCGGCTTCTTAAAGCGTTCGATTGCTCGCTGCTTGAAGCTGTTTTGAGGAGCTGGTGGGAGCTGAAACAGAAAATATTAATAAAAGAGATGGAAACATTCTGGAAAATGCCTGGAAACAGACTCCAGATTACCTGAGTTATGAATATAATCTTGTGCAGAAGTTCAAGAAGCCTCTGATTGGGATCATCAATTTGTCGAACTTTTCTCTGAGATAAACAAATTCCTGCCGATCCTGTGGACATGGAAAAAACAAAAGCGACACAATTTTATATCTCTATTATTTCCAGATTTTCTGTGAAATGACAACACTGTTACTTTTACAATATACTATATATATATATCAAGGCAAAATTTAAAAAACATCTCATAATTGTGCATATTATAGTTTTTTTTATTCGCTTTGGTACTATTTTCACAAGTAAGGTGTACATTTTCAAAACTCTTAGTACAAAAATCCAAACTGATCACACTTGTAACGCAGCTAGTCATTCTTTCAAAACCTGATGTAATGCTTTCAGTCAGTTGCACATGTTTTCAGTCCACATAATTATTATTTCAAACACAAGATTATTGTAATATGTAATGAGAACATTTGGTTTAATCACTGAAACACAACAATATGATCTTCTTTCAGTTTAGTACTTTTAACAATCAGTTCATCCAACAGCAAACAATGCAAGATACATGTTTCAAATCGGCCTTAGAAGTGCTGAAATGAATATGCTACAGTACTATAAACAGTTTTACTGTAACATTAGGCAATACACTTACAGTACCCAACATTTACATTATCTATAATTTCCAAATATCAATGTAATCAAGTGAAGGATCAATGAAGACATCCTCTACAATCATTTAGGCAAATTACTGTATAGTTTTTATTTTTCAGACATAATTGTAACATAGGTATACTTTCTATAATGAAATATAACTAAATGAGAACAAAACATAACATTTAGAGCACGCATTACAGTACGTAAGTTACTGTAATTTGGATCAAGCCTGTCCTGAGCATTTGGCCATAGATTCTCGTCCACATCACAATGAATGTTACAGTATATAGTGGCCAATTGTGGTTACCAATATGTGAAATCAATTAGCTATAACGAGTATTCATCATGTGTGGTTACATGTAATTTACTGTAAATATTCATACAAACACACATTTTATTTCTGTAGTTCTCAAAATCCATATACTGTATATTGCTGAAATGAAAATCTATAGGTTTACCAAATGATTAATTGATTAACCATTAAGATCTGTTGGATTAAATAATAGACAAAAGTATTAAACTGAACAAAAAGAGATGCAAATCAAAAGTTTGATAGTAAGAGCTTTACTGTGAATGAAACAATAATGTAGATGAAACACTTATTTTGTGTTGTGAAAAGGATACTTTGTGATTGTGTCAATTGTACTAACACAGTTGAAAACATGATGAAATGTTTGAAAAAAGTGCACTTTTGATGATCTGTTGTGATATTAGCACTGAAAGTTTTGAAAATGTACACCTTACTTGTGAAAATAGTACCAAAGCGAATGAAAAAAACTGTATCAGCAAAACTGAGATTTTGTACCTGGTCGTCCTTTTGACTTTTGACAATCCCCACTGCCAAACAAAAACAGCATTTACTTCAAATAGAAATCATTTCAACAACATTATAAATGTCAGAATTAGAAAAGCTTTTGAAAGATAGTATATCTATCAATCTATTTATCTATCCATCTACAGACATAGATAGAACGATAGATAGAACGATAGAACGATAGATAGATAGATAGATAGATAGATAGATAGATAGATAGATAGATAGATAGATAGATAGATAGATAGATAGATAGATAGATAGATAGATGGGTAGACAGACAGACAGATAAAATGATAGATAGAATGATAGATAGAACGATAGATAGATCGATAGAACGATAGATAGATAGATAGATAGATAGATAGATAGATAGATAGATAGATAGATAGATAGATAGATAGATAGATAGATAGATAGATAGATAGATAGATAGATAGATAGATAGATAGATAGATAGATAGATAGATCTCACCTGAGCACTTCATCAGAACTCTTCACAATGCACTGCGACACATCTTCACATTTTAAATAAGAAAAGAGCACTGTGTTTTTAAATTGACCAAATTAAGTGTTTCTCTCATACAATATATTTAGAGCATAAATGAGCATAAATTTCAACACATGAAGCTAACACACTGTTTGACACATATAATGCTGTTTTAGTCACAAGAATGGGTCAGAAACCTTTTGAATTGTCCAAGGTCTGGCATCACATTTCGCCACTACTGTAGTTTACATTTTGTGACGATACAAGCAATCGAGCAGTTGGGATTTGCTATAGATATGCTTTACTGTGGTAAAACTCGAAGTGACGACTATTTATGCCTATTTATCTTATTCATATGATCTAAATGCTCAACTAGAAGAGTTTGTTCTCACATTTTGAATTGTACTTTTGCATTGACACTGCACTAAGTATGTACTCGAGCAGAAACTAGTGCACTGATGTGTTCAGGTATTAGATGCAACCTGTCACCTTGACTTTGCTTTTGTTCTGCTCCACTTGCTGAAACAGATGTAGAAGTTTCAAAGCCCTGTGTTTGTGATTGATCTTGCCCATCCTCTTCTTTGAGGCCAACGCTCTGCATCAAAAACAAATTACACAGAATATTCAGCCGGAATCGTTTCCAAAAGAGAAAAAACAGGGTTATGTATTATCCGATAAACAGAAATGTCCAGTGTTGGGAGTAACGCATTACAAAAGTAATACATTACAGTAACATATTACTTTTTGCTGTAACGCAGTAGTGTAAGGCATTACTAATCAATTTTCAGTAATATTTTACTCGTTACATGTTCAGTGAGGCTTGTATTACAGTTGTATTACAGTGTATTGTCTGCTTTTACTTCTTAAAGGCAACAGACTGTGTGAAAGTTTTAAAGCAGTCTTTTAGTGCCAGTTCAGAGCGGTCGCGTCTGTAACATTGTTTTTCCCTCATAAATGCGAACACGAAAATTAAAATAAAATGAATATTTTAAGTTCTATGGAGACTGGAGAGCCAACCCTTCCTCATCCGATTTGCGCAGTGTAATTAACAGAATTACAAAAAATATATTTTGCCTCCTATTTTTTTTGTCACACATGAATGTGTGTCTTTTCCCTAATATTAAAAATAAAACATAGACTGATATTTGTCTAATGTCTGGAGTCCTTTAAGGAAGTAGCCTATATACGTTTCAATACATGTATTCTCTGAGAATTTTTATTTCACGTTTTGACTGCAAATGTCGTCATGTCCATAATGCTGGACTTCCCCAATTTTAAATAATTTATCCTCAACTAGTTTTGTGGTGTATGTCTAGGTATTTTATAATGTTAACTTCAAATAATACTAATAGCCTAATTTAAAGATAAGGTAGCATTGGATCTGGACGGTAAGGAGAATAACGCTGGAGTTGGAAGAGGTGTGTCGCGATTCTGTAGGTTCGTGGATGTGGCGAATCGCGATTTCGGTTTCATATTGCATATCGCTACAGCCCAAACGTTAAGTTCTACTTAGTTATTTTGGTGAAAGTAACTCAAAAGTAATACATGAGTAATGTAACGCATTACAATTCTGGGACAGTAATATTGTAAGGTAATGAATTACTTTTAAATAACAGTAACAAGTAATACCTAATGTATTACAGTTTGGAAGTAACTTGCACAACACTGGAAATGTCCAGTAGTTCTCAGATCAAACCTGTCGCAGTGAGTTGCACATCCTGGTCCTGTTGCTCTCCAGGAAATACTTCTGCGCTCTCTTCCGGTCTCGCTCCGCCCTTCTCTCCAGTGAATTATGGGATGCACAGAGACTGTCCACAAACTTCATCATTATATCAGAAATTCTGGAACTGACCTCGATGATGTCAGGACGCACATCTGCGTTTGGAGTCAAGCACCTGATCAAAAGCCAGCAAGAATGAGTCCTATAAGCGTGGGACACTTCTTGTGTGTGTGTGTGTGTGTGTGTAGCCATTCAAAAGTTTGGGATCGTAAGATTTTTTTGTTTTTAAAAGAGGTCTCTTCTACTCACCAAGGCTGCATTTATTTGATTAAAAATACAAAAAAAACATTAATATAGTGAAATATTATTACAAATTAAAATCACTGTTTTCTATTTTAATATATTTTAAACTGTAATTTATTCCTGTGATCAAAGCTGAATTTTCAGCATCATTACTCCAGTCTTCAGTGTCACATGAAATCATTCTATGATGATTTGATGCTCAAGAAATAATTTATGATTATTATCAGTGTTGAAAACAGTTATATTAGGGTGGAACATCTGAAAACTACAAACTGTAAACTACAAACTAAATGGAAAATTAACAAAATTTTGTGTATTGTGAATTAAGTAGCTTTAATGCTTTCAGAAAATTTGAGTAAGCAGACTCGTTCAAACATACTTTATTTCCCATAATTCTCTGTGAAATACAGCTTTTGTTCAACCTTTACTCTTCATTTTGGTAGAAATAAATAAATATGAAATTTCCAACACCTTATTGTTATTCTGTATTAAATAAAATACAGTAATTTTGTTACTATGTTTTTTTATATTAATATCTTTTTTTTTTTAATGTACAACAAAATATTTATTTGACAAATAAATGCTGTTCTTTTCAACGTTTCTATTCATTAAAGAATCTTGGAAAAATGTATCATGGTTTCCACAAAAATATGGAGCAGCAAAAACTGTTTTCAACATTTATTATAATAATTATTATTATTAACTGAGTACCAATAATAATTAAGGATCATGTGACACTGAAGACTGGAGTAATGATGCTGAAAATCAGGAATAAATTACATTTGACAATATATTCACATAGAAACCAGCTATTTTAAACTGTAATATTATTTCACAATTTTAATGTTTTTACTCTATTTTGATAAAAAAATAGACTACTTAATTATGACGAGTGTTCAAGTCATATATATATACAGTATATATATATATATATATATTTGACTTGAACACACGTTGTAATGAATGTTTCTCCAGACAGAGTAAGAGGATCTGAAAGGGAATCCTACCATTTAATCATGTCCGTCACTCTCTCAGAGACGGCTTTGTCTTCCACTGGATCATACACTGCTTCCACAATCTAAAAACATGAAGAACATGGAGGAACATCAGTTCTGAACAACCTGATGGAAAGCTCTTTTGTCAGAATTCTTTCACAATGCATTTCCGGATGGATTTCTTCACTATATGGTGAAACAACACCTTGGTAGCGAGGGAGAGCATGTTTGCGCTGTAGAACGGAGGCGTGAGAGTGACCATCTGATAGAGGACACATCCCGCGGCCCAAACATCTGCTTTCTCACCGTACGGCTCGCTTTTCACGATCTCAGGACTAACACACACACACACACACACACAAAACAGAAAGTATGCTTCACCTCAAACTCCAACAAATGTTAACCTGGTCATAGCAGGTATTTGAGAATTTATTATATACAGTATATATATATATATATATATATATATATATATATACTTTAGTTTCCAGACAATAAAATAATTCAGTACAGTACCAGCAGTAAAGTATTGTCCCGACCACTGACGTCAGTTTACTGTTCTCCTGTTTCTGTTTAGCAAGACCAAAGTCAGCTGGAAAATACATTAGATTGGTTATAATGTGTACAACTTGACTACACATAATACACACATTGTTTTGTTTTTAAAAGAAGCCTCTTCTGCTCACTAAGGCTGCATTTATTTGATACAAAATACAGTAAAAACAGTAATATAGTGAAATATTATGTTTTCTTTTTGAATATATTTTAAAATATACTTTATTTGTGTGATCAAAGCTGAATTATCATCATTACTCCTGTCTTCAGTGTCACATGAAACATTCATGATTATCAATGTTGAAAACAGTTGTGTAAATAAAAATAAAAATAAAAAAATATTTTCTAACATTATGCACTATACTTTATTTGAATTGATCAAAAGTGACAGTTTATACATATATAACGTTACAAAAGATTCTATTTCAAATAAATGCTGTTCTTTTGAATTTTCTATTAATCAAAGAATTCTTAAAAGAAATGTCTACTGTTTAGCTGATAATATTCAGAAACGTTTCCTGAGCATCAGATCATCATATTAGAGTGATTTCTGAAGGATCATGTGACACTGAAGACTGGAGTAATGATGCTGAAAATTCAGCTTTGATCACAGGAATAAATTACATTTGACAATATATTCAAAAAGAAAATATTGCTGTATATATTACTGTTTTTACTGTATTTTGTATCAAATAAATGCAGACTTGGTGAGCAGAAGAGACTTCTTTTAAAACATTAATAAATCTTACCGATCCCAAACTTTTGAACAGCAGTGTGTGTGTGTGTGTGTTTCCCCATATAATGTTCTGCATGGTAAAAGCTCAAATCTACTCACTTATGGTGACTTTATCTCTCTCTCCCAGCATGATGTTGTTGGGTGTGAGATCTCGGTGGATGATCCGTTTCTCCTTGTGTAAGTATCTCAAAGCCAGACAGATCTATGGAAGTTTCAGTATGAACATAATTGATCATTTTTATTTCATATTTCCTCAGAGTTCCTCATCACCTGTATGAAAATGTTCCAGACTCTCTCCTCGGTGAACGTCTGCCGTTTCTCTTTGAGAGAGCTGAAATGTTCAGCCAACGGAGCTCCTTCTATCAGCTCCATCACGATGTACAGTTTGTCAGCTGAGGCCAGGACAAAAACAGTAAAAATATATTCATAAATTAGTGCTGGGCAACGATTAATCGCATCCAAAATACAAGTTTGTGTTTATATCATACATGTGTGTGTACTGCGTATAATTATTTTGTACAGTACATATAAAGAAACATGTGCATGTACTGTATATGTTGTATACATAATTAATATTATATATAAATATTAACATTTTATTTATAAAAAACACGTTTTTCTTAAATATATACATGCATGTGTGAGTGTATTTATATATATATGTACAAAATAATTATACGCAGTACACACACATGTATTATGTAAACACAAACTTTTATTTTGGATGCGATTAATCGTTGTCCAGCACTAAAATAATTTTATATATTCTGTATAATACACATATGCTTAGTTTGCGGACCAAAAGTCTGAGACGCAGAATTTTGGACCCTGTAGTACAAATAAAAATCATTACATGCATATCATAAGTATAATACAATTTCTATATACTAAATGTTACGTACCTTCTAAAAATGTTTTGAAGTATTTTACAATGTTTGGATGACACATCTGAAACAGATTAAGAATGACAAATGACAGCTTTCCATTTCCTGGGAGAATAGCAGGATCATATTTTACTCTAATGTCAAAAGATAAATACAAGAAGTTATATTTTTCCTAATGAAATTTCTTTTAATTGGGTCATTATTTACATTACATTTACATAAAAATGCTATAATCCAAATCATCCTTTAATAAACACAATTTTAATTAAGTTGAGAATTGAAGAGAGGGGAAGACATGCTTAATTGTCATGAAAACACTTTTACAGCGCAAGCTAATTTTAATGACTTAAAAATGAAGTTTATTTTACTTTTATGCTATTTTGTTTAGGGTTTTTTTTTTTTTTTTTTTTTGCAAAGTTCCAGTTTTCTCTATATCAGTGTCAGTGTTTCTGAACTCCCCTCATTTGAATAATTCATACGCAGAATAAAGGGGGCGGGGCATGGTTGAGTTAGTTAGTAGTGTGTTTAACTGGCGGTTATGGTAAGGGGCGGGACATTTCCCAAACACACTCAAAGCGCTTGGCCAATCACAACACCAATCGACCAATCAGAGCACAGTGTGCTTTTCAGAAGGAGGGGCTTCATAGAGAACAGAGCGTTACTGACAGACTGGGAAGAGAGGAGCCGCAACAATGGAGGATATGGAGAAAATAAACAACATTAAAGTAGGAAAACCTGTTCTGAGAATGCATTATTCACCTGTTCTTTAATGATGGTCAACTCAGACACGATCTTATCAACGCTGCTGTCTCTGGATCGATTGTCCTTGCCGAAGGCCGGATTGTGAAAGTTGACCTCCTTCAGTGCCAGAACGTTCTGTCCGCTCTGCTTACGAACCTTTGTGTGGGAGCAAAAACCCCTGTGAATGGCTCAATTTAACTATTAACTAACAGAGTACAAATAAACAGCACAGATCACCTTCACCTTAAAGACGCTTCCAAAGGCACCGCTGCCCAGATGGTCCAAAACCGCATAACCATTGATCACTCTCAAAGGAGGTCGGTTCTGGTTCACCGTCTCTATGCTTTCCCTGAGAACATCTAACTCCTCCCCCTACACAAACACAGTCATAAACATGTCAGACAGAACATATAAGAGAGTTTGGACTATTTTAGCACAAATGTTTCCATTTATTTCACAGCTTTAGAGAAGCATATGTGTCAGTGTAATTCACCATCTTCAGTCTCTTACCGTTAAGAGTGTGATTTTCTCCTGCAGTGGTTCATACGCAGTAATGTCTCTCACATAGTGCCCAACATCGATAAACATCTCAAACAACTCTGGAGAAAACAGTCTGGAACAAACAAACAGCATTTCATTTAGAAAAAACATTTAGAATAAAATCTCAAAATAAATAAATAAATGAAGAGTTCAGATGCAAAAGTGCCATTTCAAATTTTCTTCTAGAATGATAATTTTTATCAAGCTTGTATATTTAAGTTCAGTGATTTCACTTAAATGGCAATGATAATTACCTATTAATTGTTATTTAAGTGAAATTACTGAACTTAAATATACAAGTTTGACAAAAATCATCATTAAAGAAGAAAATTTCAAATGGCATTTGGAGGCGTTTGCATCTAAACTCTTAAAATAAACAAAGCACCTCATGTAGCTAAAAGTTTGTCAATTTAAATACATTTCTACAAATAAAATACCTTTTAAAGTGATGTCTATTGCGTTCCATACTAAAAAGGAATCGTAAGGCCCTGAAAGCATAACACTTCAGAAAATAAGGAGCAACATTATTATCTGCACTTCAGGCGTACATATGGGAAAAGAGGAGGACATTTTAAGTAGCGAATGTAACGCTGCAATTAAAAGATGCTTTAAGGACATAAGAACCATAATCCATCTTTACATACTGTATTGTACATTCATAAAAAACTAAAGTGAGCAGTTTCTGCAGCCTTTATATTTATATATATATATACATTTATTATTACTATTAAGCATAATAGTGATAATATATCTTCCTTAATATAGCAATAAAGTATATTTCATATGAAATGTGAGTTTGTTTATTAGACTGACATACCTGTAGAGATTTTGCAAGAGGATCTTTAAAGCTTTGTGGCAAAATCAATTTGCCAATTATGTACACACCGTTCTCCTAAAACAGAATGGATGCATGTACAGTATATAAATATGAGATAAGAATAAGAGAAAAATAAGAGAAAGACGAGTGGACTACCTGAACCACGTTATTTGCTGTCGTATCATCCAAAACAAGCTCGGTGATCGCTGCACAGCATGCTGGGAACAGGAGTCAGTGCTTTCGTTAATTGTTAAACTTTAAGAAAATGCCGAATGTACTAACACTTTACATTAGGTCTCATTAGTTGAGAGAGCAATTCATTTTCATTTTATTTGTTATAGTATTTTGTTATGAAATCAAACCTGACAATTCTTCATTTTGTTATGGTAAAACTTTGCTCAGCTCCATGCATGCGCTTGTCATTGCAAGATGCATTACATCTGAATATGTTCGACATGTTGTCTACATGATGTTTAATCATTTGCTGCATGTATTTTAGGATGTCATATATTTTATACCTTCTTATATAGTCTAAGATTTATGGAAGTTTGTTTCAGCCATGGAATAAAAAAATTTTAAAAGGGTAATTGTGACTTTTTAATCTCACAATTCTGACCTTTTTTTGTGAGTTTACATCGAATTCTTGCATTTCCCCCACAAGATTTGAGATATAAACTCACAATTGCAAGTTATAAAGAGCTGATAATTGTGAATTAAAAAGTCATTTTTTTATTCCATGGCAGAAACAAGCTTCCATAAAGATCTATTAAGGCCTGTATATTATTTAATTTTATCGCATGACCAAAATAATTCACGTGTGTGTTTTCCTGTGCATCCTCACCCGCCTGCAGATTGATGGTGTTCTCCGCGGTCTCTCGAGGGCTCACCTGCGCTGACACATGATGCCTGTGAATCCTTCCCGACGCATTGGCGCTGGACAGTGTGTCAATGGTGGAGCGATCAGACACATACACTCGTTCCCTGAAAAAAAAAAAAAAGTTTCGCATATATAAAAAGTTAAAAAGTTAAAAAGTAATGGTTGGTAATTCGTGGTTATAAAAAAACTCACCAACCCCACAGTCGTCATGAAGGACAAAATTAGCTATATAGACCAAAACTACTTTTAGCACCAGGCTGTAAACATGCCTTTTTCTGCTGTAAAGTTGGGTATATTACTGTAACATGCAGGTCTCTGGGATTGACTGTCTTTTGCAGCCTGTCTCTTAAACTGCAGTTTAAAGGTGCCATATACAATAATTGAGGTAACAATATACGAAAAATGAGCTACACGCATCAAAAGAATGAGAAGAAATAAGTGCAAAGATGTCATTAAAAAACTGACAAGTTATAGTGCTGCCGAGATATTAACCTGAATTAGCATGCTAAATTACTAGCCCCGGCCCGGCAGGTATCGTAATACCAGTTCCGGCCATGGGAGGCGGTATGCGGACGGGCAACGTTAGCACCAGCCAAACTGCAATACGCGAGTGAGTCGCGCTCGCGCCGGCTTGTGTGTGTGTGTGTATGTGTACTTGAACCTGATGTCAGTCATGTGGAAATACAGCCCACTACTACATTTCAGTTCAGGGAAGAGTTCAAAAAATGATTGGTCGACATTATGCATGAGGAATACATTTTGGTAAGTTGTAGCATACTGTATCTTTCAACAGAGTTCATGTTCTTTTTCCAGCTAGTAGAGACGATCGGTTCACGTGCGCTAGGGATCTGTAGTGTAACATGTACAAGCGCCAAAACGGTATTTATTCTTTGAATTGCGTAATATAATTGACAGAATCTGAGAGCTTAACTAACCTGCTTGCTAAGTGTCAATTGCGTGTGTCTCACGGTGAATTCACGGCGCTAGCTTGATCAACATCAGCGAATGCTGTCTGTCAAATTAATTCACTAACAATAAAAGTGTAATATGAACAAAACGAATACCATAAACTTCAAATAATTGCCCAAGCTTTTATTTTCCCATACCGTCGAAATGCACCAGCTTGTTTTTGAGATCTATGAGGCGGTCTTCATCATTTAGTGTTGAGATTCATAGTGTTTAGTTTAGTTCACTCTAGTGTTTAGTTCATTGAGTCTCTGATCTCTAAAAATCTCCAAATGTTCCACGTGAAACTGCGGTCTTCCAACCTTTTACTATCATGTCAAATGATTTGAATAACATGCGCGATGGTAGGAGCACAAGTCATTTTCTGGAGGTATACTGCCCCCATCTGTTATGGAATATGGAGTAGGATTTGATTTATTATGGTAGATGGCACCTTTAAAGGAGAACTCCGACGAACAATGAACCTTTGGTCTAATAAAACATCGGTACCTAGTCAATCGTTCTCTGGGTTTTGTTTTCATG